AACCAACATGATGGCTGATGTCCTTAAGTTAACGACATTAGAGGTACAGCCTGAAAGAGGGAGACCATGTGCAGAAAGTTGAAGAGGCTGTGAGAACGCAAGAGTTGGTTAGCAGGAGAGTCTCCTCTTTTGGAGATACAGGGTAGGAAATTCAGTAGACTAATGGAAGAATAAGCTGTCTGGAGTGACGGAACAGAGCAGAGAGGTTGATAGCTCTTGGGAATATCAGAACCTGTAAGACAGCTTGGCGGCAAAAGTCTATGCTACTTGCTGCTTTAATGCTTCAGGTAGAAGAGGACTGTATTGAGCATCTTAAACATGATAATTTTCCATGTGATGAAAGAATAACCAAGTGCTAAACTCCAATACTTGCAAATTGGAAAATGTCAGCATAGATGGCAATGAGCTTCTTCAGTTGACATGGACCTCTTAGGTGTCACCATACCTGCTCATGTAATTGTTGAGGTTCACCATATGACCCTCTGTACTCAATATGCAGCTCGGTGTGCATGACATCTGTTATTTATTTCACAGCATTCAAACTGAAAAATTACTAGTTTCTTGTAGGTGTTTCTGGGTTACCATTCCCATAATATTGAAGAAATGAAAAGAACTCCCTAATTCCTGTGGAAGAAGTTCTTTATGCATGGAGATAGCGTGGTGACTAATGATCACAGGTACCTTTTGTGCTCAGTGGGAGGTAGGTAAGGCATGATGTCTGGAATCGTTAGCTTTTTCTGGCTTTTTGTCTGTTGGAAATCAGACTCTGCCTTATCGGTTACAGCTGTTCAGCTGTTCAGATCTGGCATGGCCGCGTTCGTCCCTGCTGACAGCCATGGTGCAGTTTGGGGCATACTGCTAGGATGAGATTTTAGGCATTGTATGTGCTGGAGGATCACCCAGTGTCACCATGTGCCCGTTATGCTCTTTATCCTACATGGCTGCTGTTAATATTTGCCAGGGTCCCGAGCTGGATGAGTATTGCTCTGGTCCAGTACGCCAAATGTTGTTGTAAATTCAGTCAAGCAGGTGACAAATGAGGAGCATGCACACAAGTGGGTTAATTTCTCCCAACTTCAGCAGCTTTAAAGTTAATCGCCTATTTGACAGTTGGAGAGAGTTGGGGTCGTTCAGCCTGGGGAAGAGAAGGCTCCGGGGAGACCTTAGAGCCCCTTCCAGTACCTAAAGGGGCTCCAGGAGAGCTGAGGAGGGACTCTTGATCAGGGAGTGGAGCCATAGGATGAGGGGGAATGGCTTCAAACTGGAAGAAAGTAGATTTAGATTAGATACTAGGAAGAAATTCTCTTCTGTGCGGGTGGTGAGCCCCTGGCGCAGGTTGCCCTGAGAAGCTGTGGCTGCCCCATCCCTGGAGGTGTTCAAGGCCAGGTTGGACGGGGCTTTGAGCAACCTGGTCTGGTGGGAGGTGTCCCTGCCCATGGCAGGGGGGTTGGAACTCGATGATCGTTAATGTCCCTTCCAACCTCAACCATTCTATGATTCTATGATCTTGAGTTAGTTATTCAGACTCCCGTTGAGTCGGCAGCGATAGAGTATTTCTTCTTGTTCTGAATGCTCTGTGAGGCGGGTGGGATATGCTGGCCGGCAACCTCTGGCTGTGGAGCACACCGCAGTGATCGGTTTAGACTAGATACTTTGAAGAAGCTAAGGTTTAGTCATCAAGAACCAAATATGCCACTTTAATTTGGTATTGAAATCAAGCAACATGCCCACATTGTGCAAGAGCTCCGTAACAGATACCGAAATAGCATCTTCTACGTAATCTGGGATGATGATTAAATGCCACAACCCTGACTCTTCTGTTCCCTCTTGGAAGTTCCTAGCGTCTTTCGTAACATGCTTCCTGCACTTTCATACTTCTTGCAACAAAGGGGACTGTAAAGGTCTAGAGAAAACCATCTTTTTGTTATACAGCAACAGAAGAGGTTTTAAAGAGGGCAAGATGCTGCGTAACTCTGTAAGTGGAGACTGTTTGATAATGCCTGTGGCCGGAGGGACTCAAATCGAAGGTACAAGGGAACTCGGTTGTAGTATTTGCTACCATTTTAGTGGCTTGCTTAGTGAAAAGAGTCCTAGGAATATATAGACAGAGAGTATATATATATATGGAACATAATAAATATTGCTGAGGTTTGTACATCCATGCACACAATGTTTGATGCAGAATGGTAGGTGGTATTGCATTTCTGTTCCCTTTCCTCCCTCCTCCCTGCCCGGGCACACTTTGGGGACAAAACGGCTGTATTTGGAATATCTGCTGGAACTCATGAAGATCCACAGGGCTGATCCAAACTCTGATAGTTTGCAACTGCTGCTAACCTGAGAATTGGACCGTAGCTTTTTTCCTCCGCTTTGAGTTGAACAGCACATGAATATGCAGATTATATACACAATATAAATACATATCTATATATAGATTTATTGTGAGATGGAGGAATTTTAATAGTGCTATGTTACAGCACCATTTTTTTGTGTATTTAGAGAAACGACCACTGCATTCTTATCTTGAGTATTAGGGAGGACTTCTAAAATGAAACTTCGTCTCTGGATTATAGAGAATATATCTCTAAAAGAGAACCTGAGTGAATTTCAAAGGAAGATCTGATCCAAGAAACACGGCACACTTTATCTGAGATAACAAACCATTTCTTGGTGTCTTGAGTCTACCGTAGGATTTAAACTTCTTGGCATATATAGCAGCTCAGTTGATCACTTGAACTGCAATTAAAAAGTAGAACAAGTACACTCAGAATATTGTTTTTGTGTCAGAAATGCTCCTTCATGCTTGAAAATGATAAAAAATTGCAATCGATCCTTACAACTGTTGTGTTCATCTTTATTGATCAGGCAAAAGAAAGATAAATCGCAGCCCAAATAAGATTATAGTAAATGTTAGCATCGTAGGGGACTGTAGGATGATAGAGAGCTATTCATCATCTCAAACGGTGACCTGTCCGCACTCGCACCGTAGTCAGTCTGCTGTCTAATCGCATCCCCATTGATTTCATCTGCGTCCCAGGAACCTGGATGGGACTGTCACTGGGCAGCTGAGATTGCTAGATGCAAAGGGGTCACTGGTGTGAGGAGGATTTCATTTTCATTTTCTTACTGGCCAACAATGATTTATGAAAAAATAAATGACCCCAAGTCACACGCGTGGAAACCTCGATTCCAGTACAAAGGAATTATTAGGTCTGAATCTCAGAAGCAAGAGCGCAGTAGACCACCTTGCTCTTTGTGATCTGTGCGTGACCTTTGACTGCAGTGGATGTTACGCAATTTGTTATAATTTGTGGTAAAATATTAGACTTGCAATACAATTTTACCCACGTCTGGAGTTGGCATGCTTTTTAGTGATTTCTGTACATTTCAGGATGATAATTTGTAAGGAAGAACCTCTGCAGATGAGATCCTCAAATGGAAAGGAAAAGTGGTTTTGCTTTTATTTTTGTGGATAGCAAAAATAAAAGAGGATGTGCCTCTTGCGGAGTTTCCATCAACCATTTTTGCCGTAGTGGTCTATCTTGCCCGCACTCCTCATAACGCAATTTGGCACAGATAAATGTTGCTCAGGACATGTTTACTAACCCCATGATCAAGGAGACCATGTAATCTTTGACTTTTACAAAAGAGCGATCTCTCCGGTTACCGGGGTTTGTCATTTTTTTTTCCCCCTAACAATGTTTTAGGCATATCGCTTTTTCATACGTCAATGTCTTAAATAAATAAAACTGCTTACCTTACCCAAAGTAAAGTTGGAACGACGCTTTCCAGGGACTGCATTGCGCCAGCCGTCTACGTTAAATGTTTTAAAGGTGGGAAATATGTGTTGTGGCATGAGTAACTTTAAACCGTGGTATAAATAGGTAGATTGTTAAAATAAGGATTCGGAATGGGGTGTATGTAATCACGCGGTGTGTGATTGTAAGGGTTTTGTTGCCATGTTAACATGACTCCCCGGGATGCCGGATGACTCAAGAGCTGCAAAGCTTCGGAAGAGTTCTTGCAAGTGCCGACAAAAACCTTTCTACGTCTCCGCGACCTGTTTGCCCCACCATTCCGAGAAAAATGGTTTTAGAGAACTTTTGAACTGCTTTAACTTTTCTTTATTCCTCCAACTGTGAAGCCAGGTGTCTTAGCTATTACATCTTAAGTCCAACTGTGCTAAGGCTATAAAAACCTCTTTAAAAATACCAGGTATATATTATCTAGACATGAAGCATCACAACATTATAGTGATTTGTCTTCGACTATCCTACGTCCCACTGAGAAACTTTGCCATTTTTAAGTTCTATTGCTTGATGATTCAATCTTGTCTTGCCTGCATTTTGGAAATTAATGATGTGGTGGAACTGAGCAAAAGGCGTTCCTGGGTTTAGGGGAGATGACAATATGTTCTGAAGTTGCCAGATTTTAAAAATTAAAATTAGCAACTGATTGAAATCACGTGGAAGTTTGGAATATTAAAATAAGTCGCTGTGAGGGGCATTATCAAGGCAAAGAGCAAAAGAGAAAGTCAAGCCACAGTTAATTTATTGTGCAACTCTGAAGTATGACTCGAGTATCGCCTGCAAACTCGATGGGGACATGTGTGCGTGTAACACAAACAGGGGCACGCAAAGAAATAAGGATTCAGTGGGTTTTTTTTCCCCTTTTTTCTAATGGAGAAGCTTCAAAGGCTCCAGCAGCACCGAGTGCTAAATATGTGATTATTTTACCCCGTGTCTCTTTACAGTTCCCTCCCCAAGAGCTGTCTCTTTTGCATAACCTTCTGGAACCAAGAGGACACACTTATTGTAAAAAACACCCAAAGAAAAACCATCTTTGAAACTTCGTAGAGTACCTGATTTGAGGGTTAGGTTTGGGGATTTTTTTTGTAGCAACTCAAATGGATAAAATCTCCAAATTAGCATTGTTTGCTAGATTTTAGCGTGCATATAAATGATATTATATGAAATCTGTATTTTATTGTTTTTTTCCAGAGTGCCCAGTTCTACAAAGTTACCACAGAGCAATACCAAAAAGCTGCGGATGAAGTGTCAGCTCGGTTCAAGTAAGTCTTTTCTACTGTTATTTTTGAGCCTGGCAGCTAGAGGAGTTCTTACCCATGTTAAAATTCACAATAGTTCCCCTTCCCCCCATCACAGATCCTATCAGTCTGCACTGGTTATTGAAATGAGAGAATTTTGAAGAATTTGGAAGCCAGTGCATAGTAACCATAAGCTGCATAGAAATTGGATGCACAGTTAGTAATGTACTAATTAATTTATATTTGATAAGGTGCACGAAATATTCTAAAAATACATTCCTTAACATTTTTTCTCTAATGGAGCGCCAAAAATGTAGTTCCAACTTTGCATTACAATAGTATTCATCCTGTGCTTGCATGATGTGAAAGGATTTAAATTAGCAACTTCGCTTTGCCCTTAACAGCGAAGGTCAAATTAAATAATTGTGATTAGTCCTGAGGATGGTTAAATGAAGATATAGTAATTGATGGATCAAAGCGACTCTGACCCTTAGCCTTGGACTTTTCCCTTTCTGCTGGTTCATCCATTACACAGAAGGTCCCATTTATCATTTTAGTAAGGATACAGGGAGAACTTTTTACAACCTTTTAGTCTCAGCAGTAGCCAAGAAATGCTGTGTAAAATGAATTATTCTGTGACGATTTTTAGTTTTTTGGAGGGATTTTCTTTTGTTTTGTTTTGTTTTGTTGGTTTTTTTTGAGGAACAAGAAGAGAAAAGGCCTTTTGAGCTGCTGATAATGGTGTAAATAAAATTCTTAACTGTAAGATAAATATCATTTTATCTCTTAGTATCATGAATTGTTAAATATTCTCTAATGTATGTACAAAGTCTTTGTACTGGTCAGTGGGGCAGAGTATGTTGAGGACTGAATTCCTCTGTCCCTTAAACAAGAGGGACAAAGTGGCCATTGAGTGCAGGTTTGATGGAAGCATAATTCGGAGGGTTTCCCGTTCGGTATGAGAAGCCTGGTAGGTTGTTATTCATCATCATTTTTTTCATCTGCGATAAGATTCCCATCAGAGGGGTGTCTCTCCTTCCTCTGTTACAGTGGGGTATTTTCAACTTTTGAAATCTAATTATTGCCTAATCCGACTTCCGTTACTCCAAAGCAAGATTTTGTTGTGATGTGAAGCATTAGTTGATGGCTTTATGAGATCATTGCGGACAGAGGTGGGAAATGGCTTTGGCTTTGGGGTTTTCCCCCTAATATATAAATGATTTCCTAAGTAAATCAAATGCTTTTGAGTTCCTTTTTGCACAAATGCAGCTGGTAGGTACAGCAGTGGCCAGTCCTTAGCATCAGGCAATATCTAAGAATTTCAAGAAAACCATTTTGAAGGATGTTTCAGTCTATCTGCATAAAACGAAGAGTATTTAATGCAGAGGGATTTGGAGAGGGAACCAGAGTTTGCTAACACTTGATGAGATTGGTCTTTTCTTAATTTTCTAGAGACTAAATGTATAAATAGAAATGACCTATTTGACAAGTCTTCTCCGTAATGCCACTACCAAAATTGCTGTGCTTCCTTTGCACTTCAAACCAAAGTTCCCCAAAAATTCTTTAGAGCTTTTTGATTAGTGGATCCAGTTTTGGTCCACTGCCTTAAGAAACAAAAGGAAAACATTATAAAAAGAGAAAGGTATTTGAACTATGCGCATAAATTACAGCAGATTTGATAAAGTGCATGAAATATCAATATTCCTTTATAATTTAAAAGTTTTCCTTATATAAAATCCTTTTAAATGCCATGTCTTTTTATTGAAGGTTTAAAGTGAGCAGATGTTATTTTATCGCTGCCTTTTGTATGTAACTTGATGGATAAATTATGAATGATTTAGTGAAAGCTAAAGATGATGCTCTTTTGGTGTCACCAGGCACTTCTCATGTTCAGTTTAATTGCATGTGAGGATTGAGGACAGAGTTTCAAGCGATGGTGTTTAAAGAGCTTGTTTAATTGGCTGTAAAAGAAGAATTAAATAAGGTTGAACTGCTAAATTTTGTTAATGCATAAACCGATGTGCTGCATGTCAGTGCGATTTCAGATTCTAAGTGCGAGATTAATAGATCTAATTGTGGTATTATTACGAAATAGTTTCACTTTATTTTAAACACGATTAGAATTAGTTTTATTGAGATAACTTCCGTTTCTTCAACTTCTTAAGCTACATCTCCTTCAAGAGCAAAGAGAAGTGGATAATTACTTAAATATTTCCTGGATTTTCCTGTTCCTTCCTCCATTTAGTCCCTGAAATTACATCAGCTGTGGCTTCATCAGCCTTTAGGGATAGTTCGCCCCATTAAAAGGGAAAAAGCCAAATCTCCACGTAGACTTGTATTGGAGAACCGGCAGGTCTTCTGGACTTTGTCTGCAGTCCTTATTGATGCCTGCTTATTACCTTCTCCAGCGCTGCCCGCATTAGACCGATATTCCAAATGTTCATGATAAATGTTTTATCTCCGTGAGGTCCTGATTCACATTGATCAAATTCTGAATTATCAAATGGTTCATCTCTTTAAGACACTAATTCGCATTGATCAAATCCTAAATGACCAGGTTCAGCCAGTTCCTGCAGTACACAAATTACATTAAAACAACATTACTAGAGCATGCTGCCTTTTCTAATGTCGGAGTTATGTTACCCGCAGTTACATTATAACCAGAATTATTATATTATGAAGATGTCTCTGTTATAATGAGAAGTTTACACAAGAAGAAAAGAATGCGATATTACAGGAAGAGCCGGGCTTTGGGCAAAGATTTGAACTTTAACTAATCAAATTGTACATTTGTATTGTGGGTTTTTTTTCCTTAATTCGTAGGGCTGGTAGCGGGAAATTTGGCAGCTGCGGTGGTGACATTTTATTCCCCCGTGGTGTCTCGAGCCAAGTAACATCTTGATTATTAATTTAGGAACGGAGTAAGCGGATAGGGCAAATTCTGCCTAAAATAAATGTTTTTACTTTGTCTTCTGTGGCTTTTGATTCCTTGCAGTAGATAACAGACTTCATAGCTGTGCACCAGTGCTTTTTCCAAAATACTTTGCCATTCCTCTCCTGCTCCACCGCTCTCTTGCACACAACGTGGAGTTGCTTCTTGCTGCTGCTTTCTTTGCAAAAACATCATCCCCAGCTGGCCGGGCTGTTGGGAAATTCGGCTCCATTTGGGTTTTTACTGCCCAGGAGGTGTTTGTGCGAAGCAAATCAAGGGGGAGTTTTCCCCCCCGGAATCTCAGCGTGTCACTTCAGTGTCATGTCTAAACTCCGGTCTTCTGCAATGAAGCCAAATTTCGGCTCTGGTGCATCACGGCACAGGGTTCATCCCCGCTTGGGTGTCAATAGGCTCATGGATGAAATTATCCAGCGCTAAGAGTTTTAATCCCGGTGGATTCTTTGCCTCCTCTGGAAGCTTGGGTGTATATTCTGAATTGCAGATTTTGATGGCTTTATTCCCTCACTGTGAGACTTTTGATCATGAACCTTGCCATCAGGAGGAATGCCTCCCGGGAGCTGGAGGAGCTCGTTTGATTAAACGCAGAAAGGTTTGGGATTTACTCAGGCTGCTTCACACGGTACAGTCTTCACACATAGGAGAGGTTTTAAAAACGGTGTTACAAACCAAATCAATACGGTTCACGTGATCCTCGGTGATTTCCATTGCTCTGATCACTGATGGAAGCGAGGGCTCGGCGATAGCCGGGCAACAGGCTGTTACAACCTCAAAAATATCTTCAGCGGGGGGTTCGATCCAGGATAGAGCGAATGGGAATAAATGACGAAACATCGATATCGTGGCTTCCTTTAATTGGTGACTTCTGCATCACGAAGCTCGGTTTATTAATGTTTACTGACAATAAATTTTAAAGCACCGTTATGTTTGATGGTTATCTGTAAAAACATGGAAACATGACGGGTACTTCCGTTACGATGTGTTTTAGCTGATAGTCTGTTGGACTGGGAAGTGAGGCTGAGAAAATTTGTAATGAAACCACGTTAAATGGATAACAGTGACACTTCGATCTTCAAATATAATTGTCTCGCAAAGCAGTGATGCCAATTTTCTGGACGTTGGGAAAAAAAAAAAAAAAGCAGTATAGAGAGAAATTAAGCTTTTTAATGACAACATTGAACTGAGACCAGGGAAGTGTGGGTTTATTTCACTCTTCTCGTTACCCTTCTGCTGTTGGGCACATGTGCTGACTTTTAAGGGGCTCTTCTGCACAACCTGTAAATTAGGAATATTGATAGTTCCTTAACGCGAGTATCTTCAGTAACTATTGTGTTGTACTCACATCCTCCTGTAACGTAGAAATCCACGGTGGCGATACCCAGGCAAATAGTTTCTGCTTTGTCTCTGCTTGTGCAGGTCCACTGGTGAGAAACATTCCCTTTTCTAGCAGTTCCTTTTGCTACCTTAATTAGTCTTAGCTCCTTTTAAAAACTAAAGGTAAAAGTGCAGATTGTAAATCATATTTGTGAAATACATTATATTTTTCCAGTAACAGAACGTAGAATTCCTTGGACGGAGCCTGCAGGCTTGACTTCTGGTTGAGCTCCCTTTGCTCAGCCAAAGACGATGGGCTCTAAATAGAAACATCCTGAATTAATCTTTTCTCTTAGAAATACAGCACGTATATTGTCATGAAAGAGTCGTTTCCATGTCGTTCGCCCTGATGATACTGTTGCTGGTAGTATTCGTGAATTCTTTTTTCACGGCTTATGGCTGGAGATGATGGTCCTGACTTATCCATGACATCCCGCTGAGGAGCGTAGGACTGGGATGTTTGTAAATTGTGCCAGAAGGAGTGCACAGTGTTAAATACCGTCAACTCAGCTTAAACCGTGGAGCTTTTCTTCGCGGCAGAGGTATTCACATGGCCTTATTTCTCTTTCTTTGTAACTCCTCCACCCCATCCCCTTGTTGTTCCCCACAGCTGCGTCGCTGCACACAGTTGTGCTCACGCCGTGCGGAGGGTGGCATAGCGGTGAGAGCTGCTTACGGTGTCGATGTAAGCAGTGCTGTT